CGCGTTGTAGTTGTTGCGCTCCCACCCTCCGGACTCCCGACTCCGACCGCCGACCACCGACCTCCGACCGCCCATGCCGTCGTCGCCTGCCGGATTTTCTTATTTTATTTTTGCATATTTTGAGCAGTTTTCCGTATGACATTTCTGCTGTCTCATGGCATTCGAGAAGCTGCAACTGCATCAGACGGTCTTTTGCGAAAAAATGGGGGAGAAAAACGTCTTTGCTTTGTGTGCCAAGGATTTGGCTTGAAATTAATTTCCTGGCCTCTGATCCGGCCAGCTTCAGGGACCCCAGGATTTCGAAGGGTCACTCGCCTTGACGCACAATTAGGCATGAAACTTGATGGTTTTTGTTATTTATTTGTGGCCAAGCATCTAATTGAAATATAATTTAATTTATGACAACGCACGCATAACACAAACATTTGCTCAGGAGGTGAGCTTTAATTGGAATGCCTCTGTCCGGGCATCAAAGTCAACTTTAACGCATGACCTGTCAGATCAGGGCCAGTCGAGCGGCAGTAATTCACAATAATACGAGTTATGTATACACTAAATACAATAATTTATTGATTTTTCATACGAGCATAATTCCTGCACGCATCCGCAAACTCATAATGTCTTCGGGAGTCGGAGATGGGGGCCAAGATGACTTCCGCTTTGTTTGCCTTCGATGTCAATAAAAATATGTGGCCCCATCTGTCCGGCCAACTTCATAATCATCGAGGAATCAAAGATGAGTGCGTGACCGAGGCAAAAGTTGTGATTCGAATGAAATTATTGAGACGGGGCAGCTGCCCATCTGGTCTGATGAATTGTACAAAAATGTTTTATTCAAATAGTCAGAAAGTTAATTTTGTTGTCGGTTTAGCTTGGTCAGGAGACTTATGTGGCTTAGTTGGGGAATTATGTATAACATAAGAAAGGCTTTTAGGACTCCAATTTTGGATGATTAACCTATTTAAATATTCTCTGAGGAATATCATATTTCAAGACTTATTTAATTACCAATTAACCTATAATTGATCTCTGTGTACTAAAGTAATAACAATAATTTCCATCACGTCGCCATCTCTGAGGCTTACGGCTGAGTGATTGACATGACCGCAGGGGATCCCGGCGGGGTACCAGGACATCGTCCTAATGGCCCATTGACAATTATGGTGCTACTAAATCTTGGCCGAGACCTGGCTAGTAAAGGCTGAGAAGAAAGAAAGTGGCCGGGGTGGGGGCGCTGAGTTCTCTGTGTCTGAGTCAAAGCAAACATGGCCCATGTCATATGCATGAGCTCCAGTCGACTGGGGTTCGTCTTTGTTTGTTTGTCTTTGGGAGCAGGGAATACCAGGCAAGGACAAGGATCTGACCCATAAGACTGTGGTCAGGGTTGGGGTCCCAGCACCCAGCTTAGGGGGCTGCATATTATTCAATTAAAATCGCACTGCCATTAAGCTTGTACGGACAACTGTCAGCAGCACGCACGCAATCAATGTCAACACGCACACTCTCCTTAGCACACACACACACTTGAACGAGTCGCAAAGGATATGAGCACACTTACACCCTCCCACCCACACATACATATAAATATATTCGGGCCGGGAAAGTGAGTTTGGTGGGAGGACGAGTTGCGAGTACGTTAATAGAACTTAGACTCGCATAAATGTCAGCTACAAGATTTCATAGCCCCGGGTTAAAACTAAGTCCCTGCATATGCGTGTCTGAAGAGCTTGGCCGTTGGAAGCGTGGCGTTGCCAGGGTGAGGGCATGGGCGAGTGCCACCAAGGATGCTGGCCATGTTTGGGTGTGTGTTAGGTTGCCAAGTGTGCGCCCAAAAGCAGGCAACGAAATTGGGCCGGCTTTAAATTATGTGGCGCAGTGAAGGGAAATTTAAAGAAAAATTCTAAATGAAAAAAGGCAGGCCTCTTTCAGATTCGAGAGGAGGTGAATCATCAAAGTTTTAATCATCAGCTTCCTTCAAAGCACCTCCTATATTGTTTACCGAAATTGCCAGTACAGTGTCTTGTTTTTAAGCTTTTGCGGAAAATTAAGACAAATAAGCACCGACCACTTTCACGCACCTCTTTCAGGTTTTTCTTTCAGAAGCACGGGTAGAAGTTTAAACAGATATACATTGAAGAGTTCTTGCCTCATCTGGCAACACGACCTCGTAGCCACACAGAGGAAAACTTTTTGTCTGCTCCGTGCTCCGTGCCACGCAAGTTATCCAAATGGCAGGCCCCTTGGCGGAATAGAATCGGGCAAAATCCGAAAGGAAAAGAAAAACCGGCGGCCCCGAATTGAACTTTTTGCATGGGAATGAAAGCTGGCTGGGCTGACTGGTGGGGCCCCTGCCGGTGGCGTTAAGTGGCGCCCAGCCAAGACGCAGCATCAGCAATTGCCACGCCCCCAAACTCGTAGGTTCCACGACTCCCGCCTCCCTATTCATGTCGACGTCTCATGGCCTGCCTGCTGGGTGGAAGATAGCGAGCTGGAAGAAAAGAATTTATACGAAAAGTTGAGAAAGGGAGGGCCTGGTTTCACAGAAAAAAATAAATATTTATATTACCTTATTTTTTTTGGTTATTAAGTAAAAAAATAAATCGACTCCCTCCAATGTTCTGAAAAATATTTTATTCAAAATCAACAGTCTTTTTTTCCCTGTGCACTGCACAAATGTAGCCTCATTTTTACGGCTATCGTCTCAATTTTTATGGCTCAAGTTGTTGTAAATTTAGTTAGAAGTCGAGTTCAGCTCTATCATCTGGCACTTCTGGGCCACCCTTGAGAGTTTGGCTCGAAGGCTTTTTGGACTCCGGCTCTGACTCCGGCGGAATCGATATTCTGCGGCAACAACTGGGGCTGCGTGTCCGTTCGCCATTCTATTGGTCGTCAAGCGGAAAATTTAATACTGTTTATTTACACAATTTTCCAGTTAGCCCGCCAGCAGCCAGCTCACCTTAGTATTCGGTCGCGCTTCAGGTTACATAATGCGAGCTCTTCAGCACTTTTTGTATCTTCCATCTTAAAGCTACTCCAGAGTCTAGAGACCCATTCGATGCGGTTGTGGTTGTTCAAAACAAACAAATAAATTCACACACGCTCGGTGCACGTATTTCCATTCACACTTTGTGGGAAAAATACGAGTTAACAGTACATTTGCTATTGTATTTATGCGCTGATAAACATAGGAGGCAGTCCCGTCACACCCACCGACGCCCCACTAACCCAACACCCCTAACCTCTCCATGTCCTGGGCGCTTAGGTCCTGCGTATGTTATTCAATTTGGCCCGAGCAACACCTGAAAATGTTGCCACAGCACCTGTCCACACACTTCGGGCAGTGAGCACTGGATAAACGGCTTAACCCTCGACCGATTTGCGAATCTGATTTGTTCTCTTGCTCGAGCTCATCAGAAAAGGTCACAAAGCTGATTTGAAAAAGAGCAAACAATTTTTCGAAATGAACATGAAAGGCTATTAATATTGATGAGGCACTAGCAAAAGTTTCCACCGAGTTCATTCATTGCTTGGGTATTGATAAAGCCCTAACTAGAGTGAAATATTCAAACAAAGATAAAAGAATTCAATAAACTTTTTCTGTCAGAAACCAAAACAATCAGATATAGGTATCAGATATTAAAAGTTCCTAAAAATAAAGCATTGGTGGCAGAGTGGTTTATCTATGTCATATTTTTAAAATAGAGATAAATTTTTGTGTGCAATATATGGCTGTGATGTGTAATACATAAACATAAATCACGCAATGATTATTTATTCATTTGAAACTCATTCGTTTTGCTCTACCAGATTACACCATCATAAATATAAATATATCCATTTTTTGTCGTTTAAGCATTCCGGATGCATACCTTGCAGATTGCACATGCGATCCTGCGCTTAATGGGTTAAAGTTGGCCCTCCGATATCAATACTCGGGCTGTATCGTTCAATCTTTATTGGGGCTTACATTTATTTATTATCGCCTTTCGCTTTCGGTACATTTATTCCAACAATTTTGTCTGCTGTGGCAGTCGACGCATAAATAATATAACAACTTTGAAGCCGGCGTGCCCGGCACGGTGAATGCAAACGCTCAGTGGGAAAATATTTTCGGAAAAGCCCGTACGAGTGCGAAAAGAAAAGCGGAAGCTAAGCTGAAAAGTCTGCGCCGCCTACTGGGGATGACGGAAAAATGGGCGGGCCAGGTGCAGCCAGAGGTGTGCTGTGCCATGCAATTTATGCAAAATCACGTATGCCGGGGCATAAAAAAATCCAGGGAAAGCACAACAAACTATAAATAATGCAGAAGCCGAATGCAATACGATTGCGGCAGTGAATAGATATTTAAAGTTGAGTTTCAAATAAATTCTGGGTCAGGCTCTATGGGTTTTGTTAAACAAAACATTTATATGGATACAGAACAAGTCATTTCTCTGGCTTTCCGTAGACCAAAAATAAATAACCCACCACTTTTGGGGCAGGTGAGGATTGGACTCGTTTATATATAAAATGTACCCCTTAACTTTTGCCCACATCCATGTCATTGACTGCTGTCAGACGGCAAACATGGCACTCTGACCCATTTCTAGCCCGGCTCCTGAACGAGCGTTAATCTTTTTTATGTGTAGTACCATCCTGGGTCGCAGAGATTCAATATAAGATACTTTTGACTGGCTCCGAAGAGGGAGACAAACAGAGACGGGCAGACCGAGACGGGATGAAGAAGGAGGCCCTTCAATTTTATTTAACATTTCGGTTGTCATTTGGGCCTGAGTGGCACTTCGTGTTGGCTTTATTGGGTTCATCAAATGGCCGACAGCCAGAGCCAGCAGTCAGCATATGTGGGGACTCAGTTAGTCGATAGTTGCCATAGATACTCCCGGGAAGTGGGGATAATGTTTGCCGGTTTGGGATACTCACTGAAGCACTTTCTAATAATCCAATGACTAAAGGAGCCATACTCACCCGTTTCCATATTTCTTTCTCCGCTTTCGTTGCAGATGGAACGGCACTGAACGAGGTAACGAGGTGAGTCCGTGAATTCGACTACGAAGCCATTTGGGATTTGAAACACACACAGAGTGGAGAGCATTCCACTCGAGCGGAGCGCCAGAAAAATTTGACTCTAGATTAGGCCATAAAAATTCGCATTAAGCTGTCTGGAAGAGATAACTTCATATGAATTTATTGACATTTCTGTTCAGTTGGTCAGTTCGAAGGTCCACTTGTTTGGCCAACACAAAAAAAAAAAACAAGCGGAGGAGAATAAAACATTTCTTGGTCTTTCTGGGCAAGCAACCGCCTCTAACCTTCTTTGTGCCCAACTGAGCATGAAAAGGCCAACATCCGTTGCGGCTAATGTGCCTGTGGGCAGGATAACAAAAAACGTGGCAATTCGAGGGTCCTTTGTGTGAATGCGGCGACTAAGAAATACATAAATAAATTAGTTACGTGCCTGGCCAACGTCCCTCCATCGAGTATTTGTTATCAACATTTCGAATATGAGATACAAACAGCTCTGGCTAAATATTTGTACACCTTGATGGACAAATTTGATGATTTTTGTATTGAAAAGGTGGGTGGAGATAAATCTTTTTTTGTTCGCTTTTCAATTTGGATTATCCAAAGACATGGAATGTTAGGATATTTCAATTCTTAAAGAGCTGCACATTTTTGTTTTTGATTTAAACTTGTCGTTAGTCATGAAAACGCTAACCAAATTTTTGTTACACCTTGTTGGACAAATTTGACGAGTCCTGTTAGAGACATGTGGTTGTGAAACTTCTCTACTGTTTTCTGTGATATATGAAGAGACTGTTCCCTAGGACCTCACCGATACCCGGAGCCCGAGATTAAATCACAAACTGGACAACGCTTAACTTTGCGGTTGCGCTTCATAAATTTTGTTTATTCATTTGTTTTGCGTCCTTGCCTGGTTCGGTTTGTTGCTTTGCTGTGGTACCAGCTCGGTTTTTTCCATTATTTTTTTTTGCCTCATACCTGTGTATATGTTGTATATATAAGTAGAGCAGTTTTTGTTGGTGCTTTTGTCTGTTGGTCAATTATTCAGACCGAAACGCTTGCGGTTAGCGCAGTGTGTGCATAAAGGCAGCAGCAGAACGGCCAGGGAAGTAGGGCATTTAAATGGCTTAAGGGGGGGATCTAGAAAGGGATCGTGTGGGGTTAGCAGGTGGGCGTGGGCGTGGACGGGGCGTGGGCTGGGTGGTGTGGCCAACGAGACGTGTGACTGTTGACGGGCTTGTGTAAATTGCATAAACTTGGTAAATGGGCAAAAAGTGTTGCTCGCTTTTGTGCGACGGCCCGAGCGAGCAGCGAAACGACTTTTCCATCAACAGGTGCCGTGTTGGCGGTCAAAGCGGGGGGTTGGGAAAAAGCGGCACAGGTGCTGAGTTCGGGGCTATAGCAAGAGTGTGAAGTCCCAACAGTCAGTTCATTATGTGGCCGGGACTGTTTACCTAGGACTCTCGTTTCGGTCCCTCCGGCTGTTTACAGTGATGTCAGTCATTGGGTTGGTCACTCGACTGCAGCTCCAAGTCCTTGGGCAAGGAAACTCGCATCCTGTGACCACATCCTGTCGACGGCATGCCAGTCTTGTGGCAGGATGAGCGTGCGACGAAAGAAAAACGCATTTCACAGCCTCATCATGTGAGCCAATACACTTGAAAGAAAACAATGCTTGTACAAATGATTGTTTTGTTTTAAAATCCTCATAAAAATTAATCCTTATATTGTATTGCTTATTATTTTTCTTTAATTTTTACCCCTAAATGTATTTAAAATCTTTAACTTAAAATGAAAATGACAAATCTTACTTAAAGATAGTCAATTTGTACTATTTTTCCCCACTGTGCAAGATTTGTAAGACTTCCCAAGTATCCTAGGCATTATAATGCCGGGACTTGGAAGTCCTATCTCTTGAAGAAGGCCTTTTCTTTCTCTGTCTCTTTGTGGCTCGGTGGCTGTGTGTGTTTTCCCATTTTTTTTGGGGGCACAAGAAATCAAGCGTAATGAAGCCCCAGACGTGAAAGCAGACAAAGGTTTACTGTTACCCAGCCCATTCAAAATTCATCGAAATGATAATAGATAAGCCGCTTGACACTAACACGCTTAGGCACTCGCAGAGCGTGTTTTGATTTGGCCCGAAAGGTGCACAAAAAGAGCATTTAACCCGCTCCAGTTCCCCAGGAAAACACTGACCAATTAGGTCGGAAACATGCGGCCGGATTAGCTCCGAATTAGTTATTGTAATTGTACTGAACCAAGGTATTACACGACAGTTGTTAATGGGCCAACAGGTCGTTTTCGTCCCCTGGGGATGGAGTGAATTATTCAAGAGGTGGTCCTCAGGGGTGGGTCTGTGAAACTTTTAAATGATCAAGTTTTAAGTGGCTTTGGGTAACTTGCGCAGAATTTTCTGCAAAGTCTACGAAACATGACAGCTATAAGCACATCAAAATGGCGATAGGCTATACAATTAGCCAACTTTTTTCCATTTGGCCCGCTCTTCCTTTTGCTCTTCCCATTATCCGACTAGTCTCTTCGCCTTGACCACCCATTACCGATTTAATGGGAGAGTTGTTTACTTTAAATTGTCGTAAATTACATACGTGTGCCGTTAAATAAACTATCCGGGATGGGTGTGCCTGGCTGGCTGTTTGTTTGTGTGTGTGTGGCTCGGTTGTTATTGCCTTACAATAACAATAACAATGAAAATCATAAGCTAATTGCCATAAAAAGCGGAAAATTTTAAGCACAACCTTTTAGGGGCGAACGTCAAAGGCAAGACACGAAAATCGCTGCAGGAAATGATGTGACGTGAGGCTTTTGTTTTGTTTTGTTTTGTTTTGGTTTCATTTACTTACATTTTTTTGTTGCCCTGGCCGCCCTTTGCTATCCAAAACAAGAGCAATAATAGCAATAACAAACAACAAAATAAAAAAACAAGCAAATAACACAACATACAGAAGCGTTCTCCAGGGTTAAGGGCGGTGGGATGGATCGAGTTAAGCTGTGTTGTGCTCTTCTGGCCACAAGAACATCATTGAAATTGACTTCATTATTATTTTATAGTCTTGGCCTTAAGTTTTGCTGTGCTTGCCTTTTATGGCTTTTTATCAAATCTTACATTGCGCTTGTGGCACGTTTCCTACTGATGGTCATCCTATTGGTTGGTTTATTAAAACCCAGCTCGGGGCACTTCTCCCAACCAGTATATACAGTATTCAGAGTATATGTGTGCATAAATCTATAGCGAAGACGTCCTTATCCAAGGATATGGTATATGAATGAGGTGGTGGCCGAAGGCGAAACTGATATAATGCATTTTGCAACAGTCCTCCGTATTTGGTGGAAAGCCAGATATCCAATCCCCATTAGCACTGAGCTAAAACAATGGATACCGTAGCCATTGGAGGCGAATTCGATTACAGATGGGTGCTCGACAGCTCATTCTAACTTGGAATTCAAATGAAAATTTAATTCGGATTATAGTACTTTAGTTTATCTGTCGGAGAAGCCATATAATTTCCAGTCAGTCCATTTCCTCCATCACACCTCTGGGTTTTCCACTTTCAAGTGTCACTTGCCATTTGCCAGTCACTTATGTGGTCTCCTCGTTTACACGATTCCCGCCATTTTCCTCTTTTTCTGTGTGTGTGTGTGTGTGTGGTACAGGCATTATGTAAAATTTTTATCGCCATTTTGATGTGCAGCAGCATTTCATAGTTTAGCGGGCGGGGGCTTGAGTCGGATGCCTTTGCCCTTTGCCTTTGTTTGTTTGCGGGCATTAGCGCACACCCACTCGCCCGAGAGCACTCTCGCTTGTTTTTGTTTTTTTGGGTCACTTTCAAAGCTCTTGGCGTTTTTCAAGTGGTTTCAGCACACTCTCGAAATAATTTCGTGTGTGGAATTTGTTTCTGGCGGGTGCTATCAATGCGATTAAAAAACAATTACACTTGTGACACTAATGGCACAAAAACAGCAACACGCACCTCGCGCCACACCACTTTATATATTGAATTTTTTGCAGCCCTGCCTCTGCGCATTTATTCTATATACAAGATATATACAAATATATTTTTTGAGAGGGCACAAAAAACACAGCTAATGCTGACAGGGAGAATTCAGTGTGCGTGTCTGTTTGTGGCATCTGCGAAAAAATTGGTCGATTTGTTTACACGGCCATGGATGCTGGCCGGATAACCACATCAAAAATAAACAACGAATTCAAAATTGATTTTCCAAAAATCAAAATAAACAAATTCACTTTGCTGTTTCATTTCATTTAATTTTAAATTTTCTCTTTTGGAGTTGTTACGTTTTTGGCGATTCTGAGTTGCTTTAAAGCTCTTTAAATTAATTGCCCGGCCAGAAAGGGCAGAGCAGAGGTGGGCTGGAAAGCCTAATGGCCAGGCTAATGGCTGGTATGCGAACGTGGCCAACTTCTTGCGGCATTATTAACATGATTGCCGCCAGGACCCCCACCAGAGAGCCGAGTCCTTCAACGGCTGGATCCGCAGAGCAGAAAGGAAAAGCTTATCAATGAATCACCAAGGCATGTGATTGATGATTTGATGTGATGAGTGTCCCTGCCATATGTATATACCAGAAGTATGGGAGTGTGTATGGCGTGTGTATGTATGTGTGTCGTTCCATTTCCTCCGCTTACCCACCGAATGTGGCTTCTCTGACAAGGATTAGGTGCCTACGCAGAATCCGAATAAATACCAGATACCCGGAATTCTGGGGCTTCTTCGTCCAGGGGATGCGGAATGACAGCTCACATATGCATATATTTGCACAAGTCGGTGTGAGAGTGTGTGTACTGGGCTGTGTACTTATGTGCGTGTATTAGTTGCTCTAAGACAGATTAAAAGTGAAGAGCCTGCAAAAAGTTTTCCGCCCATCCAGAGTCTGAATGGATATACCCTTACAGGAAAAATAGAGTGACTAGACGGGCATTAAACATTAAATAAATAGACTTTTTCCTGCTAATTTTAGCATCCGGAACATTAGCATATGTATGATTCACATGGATATTTGGGCAAGTGATTCATTCAGCAAATTACCCCAAAATTTGTTTGAATTGCAGACCGTAAAGTCACATGACTTTTAGCATTTTCCTTTGTATTAATACTACTTCAACGGATTTTCATTTGTATAATTCTTCGACGTCTATGAAGCTTTATTTTCTTAATTCTTTCATTCAAACTTGAAGGGTAGAATTCTTTTCATTCACTTTTTAATTAAAGTTCAGTGGCTCATTGATAAATACCTTTATCTCCGATATCGGGCGCTCTGTGCTAAAGGGTATTAACTAGTCAATGTTTTTCGACCCGCTGCGATTTCCTCAGTTCGTTTTTCCTCAGTTGAGTTCTTTTCTGTTTACCGACAGTAACCGCCATCATCATCAGCAGCTGCTTGAGCTTCCGCCGAGCGTTAGTCGGCGGCTTCAAACAGCTTCGCACGTTCTTTTCCCTCGGCTGGTGCTGTTGATTTTCACACATACATATAAAATTACGAAATAATGCACAGAGAAAAATATATAAAAAATACCTTTAAGGGTAATTTTATGGCTAATTTATCTTTAAAACCCATTTATATCCCGATTTAATGTTTTGAAGTCAAACTAAACCAAAGACTAATATATACCTAAGAGAAAAAATTCGGACAAATTTGTCGATTTTTTATAGAGTTATGTTATAACTGTTAAGTTTCTTTATAAAAACAGAAGAATGAACAATAATAAGCAAATAATCTTAAAATAAACTTTATTAAACGAAAATATGTTGGTGGAAAAGATAGGTACCGGATATCGCATAGTCAAGAAATTAAATATAGCCGTCTTTGTGGTTTTTACTTTGGTATATATTAAATACATAGTTAGTTAATAATTTTAGTTCGTTTTTTCTTCAATTTTTTTTAAGATTGAAAACCAACAGATCTTGCTCGTATTAGGATCTTAATTTACAGATTTTAATTTATATCTAAATAAGTATTTGAATCGTAATTTCACTTAAATGGGGCATGTGAAAAATTCCTTTAAAATATCCTTACTGAAAACCATTAATTTCAGGTCAAATATTTGTAATTTCAAGCCTAATATTTTGTTTCCGTGTATGGCTGTCACGAATTCCTTTGTCCTATCCCCGGAATAGACCAAAATGTTTACACATACGCGCGATTTTCTTTTAACAATTCATCAAATGCGCTAAGCGCGCACAAAAACTTTGACACTCGACGTTTTCTGTGTTTGGCAAAGGCTGTGGAACAGGGGGTGGCTGAGGGGGCTGTGAAGGCAAACTTTCTGACTGGGCGCCCCTTCGATGTTACGCCCATGGATGCCATATCAATCATCGCCCAAAGTGCGTGCCCGTTAGACACCTTGGCCGGAGTGTGTTCAGGCTTTAAAATATTTATTTTACTTAGCTCTTTGGCCGGGCCGCGTTGAAGGCTAAATACAATAACTCAAAGTGATTTGCCAGGTGGAAAGAGACCGCCATTATTTGCATGTCCCCCACTTGCTTTAACCATGCATTATTTATTTGTCTTGGAGCAATTTATTTCTTGTGAAATTCTGCAGACAATCGAGCGAGGAATTTGTAGCTGACATCGGCAATTAGTTACCGGTCTGAAAGGAGCCTTATACCTAACTCTTGACAACATTTGAGCTTTAAAAGTGTTTTTAGGAAGGTGCTCAGCTGTCGGTTTTATAGAATCGGAAAATAATTTGCATAATTATCTGCCTGATTTACTTTATGCCATAATCCGACTTCATAGTCAACATCGCGTATACGCCGCGTGGGCACCGCATTATAAATATATGAAAGCTTAACTCTATTTATTTTCTCTGCAGGCCTGTCATTTAATTAGTGTAAACAGTTTTTAGGCCGGGTCAATAAGCTGATTTAAAATTAATTACTTATTAAATGCTAGGGTAATCCAGCCCATGTGCACATGTGCATGCCTATTCCGTTCGAGTGTGTGTGCCAGTTGATTTATGTAAATTAATTAAATAAACACCTGTGGCCAGAGGTATTTCAGCTATGTACACATGAGGTGGCACATGGGAGGTGTGTGTCCGGGGGGTGTCTTTTAGTCAGTGGGAGTTGGGGTTTGAAAATGATGATAGTCCTGGGACAGTGTCTCGTGATCCGGTCTAATTTAGCTCTGTTCCTAATTGCATCGCCCTGATTTATATTGAATGTCAACTGGAGCAAGTCCATAAATTTTTTTGCTGTGAAACCGCCTTGCGTGGCGGCGTCGCATAAGGGACACTGGCTTAGTCTTGGCTTATTCCCGTGCGATAAGTCCTGGCCCGGAGCCCTGGCCGGGGCCTTTGTAGGCAGTCGAGTGTGCGCATGATTTATTTTCATTAAAAACTTCTTTCGCGGCTACTTAAACATTGAACTCACCCCTCGAAGCCACAAACTTTTCGCGTTCTGCTCTTCATAAGGCAGAAAAGTGGAAAAGTCAGCAAGAAAGAACAGGCGCAAAATTTAATCTGGCCATTACCAAGTTCTGAAGCTTTCACAATGAAGTCCTTGCATCCTTTCGTCTCCTTCTCCCAACTGCAGTCATTAATTTCCAGCTTAGTTTCGGGTCCCAGCTAATAAGCAAAAAGAATGTTTATACATATTTTCCACTTTCGCGTACATAATTAAGACCCTGTTTGCTAAGCTAAAAAAATGACTGGAAAGTGTTGACCTCTGCTCCAATCGGAGAACCCTAGAATCTAAATTCATTTACTTGTCCGTCCTCGGGACAATATACGTGCGTGAAGTAGCACTATTGCATTGGCCGATTGCATTGGCGATTCCATTGGCACGCGATCATTAGTCAAGGAACAGGAATTGCCGGCTGACACTTGATGAAAACAAAATGGAGTACTACGAATCAGGGAGGGTTACAACAAGAACATGGAATTGCTAAAATGGTATTATATTTTAAATCGTGTTTTATTGAATTTTTTAACTTTTATTAAAGCATTTCATATCCCAACAGAAGCAATTTCTTTCAGTGTCCTGCAAAAAAGCTTAAAACAATCGATGCCTGTAGATTGAAATTGCTTTCTTATCGCTCTGCCATCATCATTTCCATGCAATTAGTAACTGATTTAGCCTCAGTGAGAGTCCCTTGCAGTTGGCTCCTGTTTCTTTTTTGCCGTGTCCTTTGGAGTTCCTTTGGGACTTTACAGTGGTTTTTGCATTGCGTGCGTTGTCAGAGTGTTGGCAAATTAAAAGTTCTCCTTTCCATTATTTGATTGCCTGGACGAAGTGAGTTTTTGTATAAATTAGTTTCCTGCCACTGAAACTGAAAATGGAAATGAAACTGGAGCTGTCGCTTGCTAATTAGACATGGAAAGTTGAGCTTATCCAGGTGTGAGATCCGCAACTTTTTCTGGCAATTGCATAAACTTTGATGTTGCCGTTTGGAAATAAAAAGAAATCTCTACCGTATTTTTCTGTCGCTGTTAACTGCAACTTTGGGTTTAACTAGAATTACTGTAGGTATATTCCGTTCTTTGTCTGCGACATAATTATGTGGCAGCAATTTGGATTGCGCCCCCAACACAATAACCATAAAACGCAGTAACAATTGAGAGCCCAAGAAACGAAAAACGAAAAGGGGCGCCCCCAACACGGCAGCAGTTATTTCAACACCTTTATGGCGTTCTTTCTACATTTGTTAGCCGCAACTGTGCACTGGAAAAAAATGGTTCTTTTTATTATTATTTTTGGCATAATGATTCTAGGCCTTAGTTTGTTGCGCCAGAGGATCCATTAGACTCAGGACTTTATTGTTTTCAGTGCCGGCACACTCGGACATGCTGGCCTCAATGGTTTGGCTTTCGTCCTGGCCAATGACCAGTGGAAAAGGTGGCGGTCTAGCCCGGATAACACCAGCGGCTGACATGCAAAACAAACGCCATTGTCGGGGAAAGAATAGCAGCCGAAGTAGCAGTGGCAGTGGCAGTGGCTACTACGTGGAAATACATTTACAAACCGCCGATAGAAGTCTGTAGATAAAGCAAATTGCTGTGCTACAAAATCGTTAACTGTAATTTACCGCATTTGAAATGTTTTCCATTCCCGTTCCCCACATGGCCCATTCCTATTTTCCTGATTCTCCGCCAGCAGTTATGAATGCAGATATCCTGGTAGACGGTGGTGTATGGCAAACTTAAATTATGTTTTTCAGCTTGATGTTTGTTTTTTTGGCGAAAATCGCCAAAGTAATTGGGGCGTGTATGCATCATTCTTGGCGAACGGATATCGGAGGTGGGCTCAATGCGGGTGTAAAAGCACTTGAGAGCCACTTGCCAGCCATGAATTAGCCTCTGAACAACAGCCAGACATGTAAATGAGGGCTGGGAATCAACTCTCGCCTCCATCTAGCCCATATTAATCATACGCACTGCGGCCGCCACGAGAGCCGCTGCTTAATTCACTCGAAGTGCAATCAGCACAGCTATGCAATATTGCACACTTGAGTGGCAGGCAAGTTGCAGTTGCAAATTGAAAGCGTGCCAGCATGGGCTGTCGGAGATTAGCAAACAGCAGCCCGCCTAGCAAATAGCCCGAAGTTCTGTCAGAATGCAAATGAAATTCGCATATCTCTGGCACTAGATCACGGCAGTGTGCAATAAGTTTGCCACAAAATGTGGGACAGCTGCTAGGAGGCGAGTGAGTGGCTATCAAAAGTAATGAAAGTGCAGTGGAAACATTCCCAATGATGAAGATCTGAGGAACATGCTGGTAATACTGCTGGTGTGTTAATATAATATTTTAGCATAAAAATATCGAACTATTATATCTCGAAGATATAATATAAGCAGGCATGACGCCTGCTCAGTATGCCTTGTCACTCTACTCACTCACGTTTACACCTACCCCTTTACATTCCAAATTCAGATTTCTAGATAGAAGCAAGTGCATAGCCGTATTTTCCTCGAACTTTTGATTTTGATTTTGGGCAGTTAAGATGCCACGTCAGGGATCCGATGGCCGATCCAGTGGGTCAATGCGTCGCCAACCTAGTCGCAGCAACAGCAGCAGCAGCATCTTTGCCACGAAGTCCTCCCGAGGTAGCAGCAAAAACTTGCCGGCGGTTCAGCAGCCCAAGAAGGAAACCGCTCCAGCTCCAGCTCCTCCCAAGACAGCGGCGGCAGCTCCCCCACAGGCGGCATCTCCTGCCGCAGACTCCAAGGGACGGAGCACTGGGGACATGTTTAAGGACATGGCTACTACAGCGGCGGGAGTGGCCGCAGGATCGGCTGTGGGTCATGCCGTGGGCGCTGGCATTACTGGCATGTTCAGTGGAAAGAATCAGGCTCCGGCCCCACAGGCGGAAGGCGGGGCACCGACAGCCAAACGCACTGAACTTGTGGAAGAGGGTCCTTGCGCCTTCGAGCTCCGACAATTCCTCAAGTGCACTGAGGAGAACAGTGATATCTCCGTCTGTAAGGAGTTCAACGAGGCGATGCAGCAGTGCCGACGGCGCTACAATGTCTAAGACTGCGACGATCCATTATCAAAATTGTGAAAATACGATTATTACACATTGCTAAGATATGGTTTAAACAAAGAGAGATTGGTCAGAAGAAACCACATAGAGTGGTTGGAAATTGATGTAGAACTCTATAACATCTTAGCTCTTTCGAGAATATGTTCTGAAAATCAAACTATAAATTGGAGAAATAAATATATTTTAAATACTGATGAAATATTTAAGTCCATAATTTAGGTTTACGTAAAGTAATTTTCAATTATTACCCTAATTTTTTGTTTGTATATCATATATCAAATAGTACAAAAAGCGTTTTTTTCATATTAAAGTTGTTTTTTTATTAAACATTCCTAACAATCGCCCGCCAAAAGCCGTCTTGGGGCTGAAAGAAAATTAATTGGCATTATGCGGGCCGCCATCAACATGAACTCATCTCCTTTGCCAGAATTTCGGGCCATCCATCTTAGATGCCGAAACATTATTGATGTTGATTGATTTATAAACATTTTGCGGGCCCCAAGCTGGAGAACGGGCCAATTAAGTTGTAGCCAAAACAATAAACAAAATGAAATTAGCATTCCGACTCTTTTCTTGTCGTTTTTTCATTTTATTTTTATTAAGAGTCTCTGTGGTTTTGCAGATGTGGCATCAGCTGCTGTCACATCTATTTACTGAAATTTTCAGCGAGCAAATATAATTTGCTTAAATATTCATAACAGACTGAGTGGAAATTGTATACGGCTGATTAACATGGTGTGGGTGCGTTGGGTGTGGGGATGTTGGTGCGGGTGTGGTTTGGTACTGGATGCGTGGGTGGGTTTTGAATTTCCCGGGACGCGGAACCCGGTACTCTGAATTTTCCGCAAAGCGTACAGCATCAATCAAGTGGCATTTGCAGCAGTAACAGTGGCAGTCGGGTCATTTTCGGTTTTCAGTTTTCTGTTTTCAGCTTTCAGTTTTCCGTTTCCCTCTGCCTTGTCGTTGTTATGCGGTTTGCAATAATTTAATGAAATATTGTGTTTGCCGCATGAACTCGCTGCATGTGGAGACCAAAGCCAAATTCGAATTATGCCTAAACTTTGGCTGGCAGCTCGGCTAATTGCCGCCGCTGTGTTTTCATTTTGTTCCCAAAAGCCAAAAATAGTCAACGCAATGAACTTTTGCATGTTCGTGGCCAATTAAAGTATTTCCGTTGCACAAGGCTAAAAGGAAAGCGAAGTGCTTTCATTACGAGCAGGTGCAATGGTAGTATTTAGCCATTTGAAATACTCTACAAACTACTATTCTAATGTTTTAGGGAGCATTATTTGCATTAAAAAAATATCCATGCTATTAGTGATTTTATAGTTTTCAAATAGATTTAAATCAATGAAGAAATCCTTTATGAATACAATTTAAATCCTGGAGCACAAACCCTTCAAAAAACTATAATGACTACCAGCTCTACCCTCTGCTCGTCCACATCTCCTGGGAAAATATTCAAAGGAAACCCAGCTGGAGTTTGTATTTGTTTTGCTTTCATACCTTTCGCGATTGCCGACAAATTCATTATGTGTTCGTAATTAGTGCGGGAAATGGGAAAAGCAAACGCAAAGCGCGGGAGGAAAAACAAATGAGAAATAGACCATTTTTTCCATATACGATTATATATAGCTTTTTAGCCCTTCAGCCAGACTGTTAGTCAGGTGACGCTCTGGCGTGCACTTGGCAATTAGCTTTCAGGCAATGCAATATGAATTAGCTGCCAAAGGATTTCTCGGGGGAGGCCTCGATCCTACGAGCTGCCATGTTTTAGTCGTATGAGGCATTTGAAATTCTGCTCTCCCAGTGAAAGCAAGTCAAAACACAATACAGTTTGTTTTTAACACCAATACATCCCCAAATTAGGGAGCCAAAAATCAAAGAGACTAGTAGGATGCCACGCAGAAACAAGAGCACCTCGGCCAAGGCACACTCTGCCAGCCATCTGCCGGTGGCGCAGCCCTCTAACAAGGACTCGGTGGTAAGAAGCACTGGCGGCGCCTTCAAGGATGTGGCCGCCCATGCTGCGGGCGTGGCAGCCGGCTCGGCCGTGGGTCATGCCGTGGGCGCTGGCATAATAGGTTTGTTCCACGGCCCCAAGAGCCAAGTCAAGCACAGCGACCTTGTCCAAGAGGGTCCTTGCGCCTTCGAGATGAAACAGTTCCTCAAGTGCACCGAGGAGAACGCCGATCTGAATGTCTGCAAGGAGTTCAACGATGCTGTCCGCAACTGTCATCATCATTACAATTTGTAGGGCGGAGAACTATTTTCAAATAATCTGTAATCAATTGCCTCTAACACATTGTTGGGCATAATAAATTCGAATAGTTGCATTGTTTTCATAAGTCATAGTCTATCGAATGTTTTTGTTTTAAAATGAAAATTAGTTCAATAGGAGATGGTTCTTTGAAAGTATTTCTAAATATATTATTTACTTCTGCCAATAATATATTTCCTTTTTTTTACATTTAACACTGTCTTGCTCCTTCATATAATTTTTGGCGATTTATTTACTTTCAAATATTTAAATCAATTTTAAAACAGACTCCGACCACTAAAACCATTCCTCCAATCGTTAAACTTGGTCCTTTGTTCTGGTGTTTCATTTCCATGGATCTCAGGGATCCCAAATCAATTTCAGGCGATGTGGGTACACAATTAAAATGCTTTATGACAGGTCCTTGGGTCGGGCGTTTATTTTTTGTGCTTTTTTTAACACTTTAAAGCCAGCCGCTGGATCGAAACCCATTGTCATATGCTCGCTGCTCCTTTGGCGCTGTTATTTTTTGTCATTTTCAGTTAATTGTGATTTTGTTTACTGACATCCTTGTCTCTCCGTTGGCTCGACCCCTTGCCTGGGTCTGGGACTCGGGCTTTGTTTGCCTTTCTACTTTGTCTGTGAGCCCGGGCGCATATTTACTTTAATTTTGTTTTGTTGCTTTACTTCGACCCACTCCCCAGACCAACCGGCATCCCAAAGAGCCATCCAGCCAACCTGCCTACCAACTTTCACCGATTTTAGCGTTGAACGCGCCTTTCTCCTCGCTTTGAGCGCTTTTGTTTCGCATTTTCGCGTTTCAGTTTTTTCTCAATTTTTTGTTGAACTTTTTTGTGGGACCCAAACTTTTTCATTTCGTTTTTTTATCTGCCTGGCTTGTGCACAATTAAGCCAGCGAAATGTTTCGGCCACGTCAAGGCGACGAAGACGACAACGTTGACATTGAGGACCCCAGAGAGAATACCCTTTTTAATTTCTGGCATATTTTTGCAGCACCAGCTCCTTTGAGAAAACCATGAGAAAAAGTACAGTGAAGCAATTATGAAAGGACTTGGATCAAAGATATTCTTAATTCTTGCTAGATTGTACAGTCAAAATAAAATTAAGCAGGAAATAATTAATGCTTTTTGGTATTATAGCAAGAAGGTCCTTAGGTATTAGAGGCAATTTCATTTAAAATTTTATTTTGATTTTATCGAATAAAAACTGTATATTTGGTGCTGCCTTAAACACTTTGTCAGGCTTAATGAAAACAAATTTAATTTTTTGGCAAGCAACAGCGAGCCTAATAAATATTTATTATGTGCTCGAATTTCCCAGGCTCGCATATATCCCCATCGGGAGGTCCTGTATCGCACTAAACTGACACAGCCAGGCCGAATGCTGGCCATGTCAGCAAATACTCCTCCCAGCTGCGGTCATTTTCATGGGAATGGGATTTGGAGTGTTGACCAAATGCAGTTTGGATGTGACATGGCCAGGAGCGGCAGTCAATTCGGGCCATAATTATGACCAATTAGGAGGCTTTGAATTGATGGTTCTACCTTTCAATTAACCTACCGTGAGCTTCAACTTTAATGCAAAAGGAATTTTAGATAATAAAAAATGTAGAAAATAATCTACAAAAATCATTTTATTTGAATGAAATTACTTTGTAGGATGTATATCCTTTTTGCTGTCATTAACAAAAGAGGACTTCAACCATATCTGAGTTGGAAATCGGCAGGCAAAAAGCGTGAAAACACATTAAGAGCGATGAAAACAAATACAGGCCAGATGCAGATACAGATACAGATACAGATACAAACAAAGAGGCACATGCAGATACAGATGGATTTTCCGTTCCAGCTACCGTGTGTGGCAGGTGACGAATGCACAAAAAAACTGCTTTATTGATTGCCTCTTTTTGTTGCCCGCTGAGTTTTCCGGTTTCCTTTGTTCGTTTTTCCACTAAAGTGGGCGGGAAAGTGTGAAATTCGATATCACGAGCATTGCAATGCACATTAAAAAAGTAATGGTTTTAAAGTTTATTATTTTTCAATAAAATACAATTTTTTGGTTTCCCAGATTGTTTTTGATTTCTTGACAAAATACTAAATATGTAGATTAATTTTGGAAGTATAGGCAGCTATTTTTCAACGTGTAGTTATGTTTGCCTGAGAAGGAAGGAAAGGCGAGGGCAACCTGCTGCGGGCAAACAATGAGAAATGGCTGGTCCACCTGCTCTCCCGGCCACACAAAAGTGTACACACTTGGTCAGACGACCCACCAACCCGGCAAGCAAGCAACCATCCGACCTGAACGTGTTTAATTTAATTCCGTCGGTTTTCCAAAGACCATCAATGGCTATTCGTGGAACGGTTTATGGACCCTTCGGCAAATCCTATAAAATGCTAATAAAAATCAAATCAATTTGAAAGGCGGTCGGCCGGGCAGTGGGGCGTGCAATGCAATAAATTGCATCAGAGTCGTGTAACCAAATTGGTTGAATGGCCAGTAAGTGCATTAGTCGGCGGGATGTTTTGTGCGAATCTGTCAAATATCAAATTGATGTGCAGCCAGCTGGACGAGGAGCGAGGAACAGAAATCACAGAGATGACGGGCGGAACTGGCGGAAGCGGAAATGTATTTCCGAAAACCGGAAATGTACTGCTGCTCTTGAATTGCAAATGGGGCCAGCTAACCCACTGTTCCCCTCCCACGGCACACTGCCGGTCCCATTTGGAAAGGACCCTTATGAATATGCAGAGTTTGGCCAGGAAAATTGCCTCGGGCACAAAGTAATATGTGGACCAAGTTGCGGTGCAACTCTTGGCATTTAATAAATATTTCACAAGTACAACTTCTCGGTACAAGTACCGGGAGCACTCGGAGTTCATTAAAGAGAGGGACCGAAACTAAATTTAAATTGCCGGCAGACGACCGGCAACTCCTTTGCGCTGCCCTTTGTCCATTTGCATATTAATTAAACCTTACAGCCGAAAGGCGGTGGCCAGCCCCAAAGCCAAAAGGTCAAAAATTCCAGGGCCAGGCCAAAAACCCATAAGCTGACCATACACACAATACCACACACATCTGGCTGGCTGCTTCATTAGATGGCGTGGCATATTTTCAAGGCAACTGAGCCCGGTTTAAGCCCATAAAAATTTAATTTCATCTTAACAATGCTGTTTTGGCCAAACAATTTGCCGTCAGCCCAAATTTATCTTGCTCACCCTGCCGACGCGATGTGTCACTTAAATATCAATTTAATTTCCATAATAAAGACAGCTCCTTCCCTCTGAAAATAAAAAAAGCGGTGGCAGTCCACGGCAGTAGCTGACGATGAATTTATGCCAGGACCCCCGGGGGATTTTCTCTATGATTGACAGTTTGTTTAGCCGCCAAGAATGGGGGGAGTCCCCGAAAAGTAGTTGACAGAGCATTGATTGAAGTAAGTATATCAAATATGTATCAAATATGTATTAATAGAAATGGAAATTTCAGTCGGGAAACAACCGTCCAACTATTGTTAATTGTATTTACTAAGCTTTCAGTGCCTGAAGGGAAGCAGGAAAAGTATCTTTCGCATAAAATTCAGCTTGTTTGCTCCTGATTAGGGTAGAAAATTCAGTTGATTGTAGTGTAAATAAGTGCTAACTCGGTTACGAAAAGCAGTTGAGTGGAAGAATAACAATTACTTTATTCGATTACAGGAAACTGAATATTCTGGTGTGGTTGTTTCAGAAAAAAAATGTAGTGTAGGCTTGAATGTGTAAGTGGCTTTTAAATTTAAATTCATACGATTTTTGTAAGGTTTTGTAGAATAAATTGTAGATCCAAGGGTATATATAGAAGCCAACATAGAAGCAATGTGAACAAAACAATAAAAGCAAACTTAAAAGTCCATTAAAAATGCTTAAGCGACTTTCTAAAGTCGCCAGACCGCGTCTACTCGGTGACAGCCAAGGGGTGTGGATTTGGATGCAGATGTGGAGGTCGGAGGTCGAAGTGGCAGTGGGTGTGAATGTGAATCCGGGTGACTGGACTGAATGAAACTGAATAAAACCCCACTGAACCGAACTGAACCCACAAATGTATATAGTATGGACTTGGTGGGCCGCTGCCACTGCTTCTGGCACTGCCATTGCCGCTGCTCTGGTCGTCGACAATAAATAGAAATCTCAATTTACGATGCGTTAGTTGAGCTGCTCCCATCCCCGGGTTTCCGGGAAGGCGGCGTTAGTAACTAATGCCGCAAGGACACTGTTGACTGAGTGGAGCGGGGCACTAAGAAAAAATCAACCCATCTTCTAAATATCTAACAAATCGGCAAGTACTTTAAAAGCAAGTTGAAAAAAAAAATATATTAAGCTTAGATTTAATGCTAAAAGCTTCGTTTATGTATAGTTAGGTATAATCTTTTAAATATTTTTCAAACCAGTTTTATTTTAGTGTGATTTGCAGTATCTGAGGGTGGCATGTCCTTGCTGGGGGCCGAAACCAACTCGTCTGGTCTGCGCCTCTCTAATGGCATTTGTGATGGCTGCGGTTATAGTCGCTGCCGTCGTTGACGATGATGTTGATTGGCGATTCAGCGACGCATGCATGGATATGTCTCCATTGCCCTAATCCTCACTGTTGCCCTCTGGGTAGCTGGAAAAGTGCTTTTCTGTTTTCCATCAGCTGCACTGAGTGTGTTTATGTTGACATTAAAAACTTTGCTCTTGCCAAAACTCTGATGGTGCGAAACCGAAACCGAAAACTTAACCGACGCATAGTTCAATTATGCGATAAAAGTTAAGCTCTTGAAAAGTTTCTGACTGCGCTAATACGTGACATAATTTGTGGTAATGCGATTGAACCGACGGAATTGTTCAGAATTGTTCCAGACAGTTATCGTCGGGGCTGAGTGACTTTCGCCCCGACAGATACAATGTTTGAAAACTTATCTTCAAGGATAAAAAAAGTACAGAGTAAAGACAAGAGGCAGAGTGCTTCAATTAGCGCGCACTTCCGTCCGAACGGTCCAGTAAATTAGCCCTGGTCCAATGGGCTAATTGCAGGCTTTTCTTTGGCGAAAATTAG